AGAGGCAGAGAGAGCAGGAAAGCCGGGCACAGTGGTGTATGCCTGCAGTCCCAGCACTCAGGAGGCTGAGGCAGGAGGATCAATGTGAGTTCAAGGATACCTGGGCTACACAGAGAAACCTTTCCTCAAAACAAACCAACAGACCCACTCCCCAGAGGAAAAAAAAAGGTTCAGCTCTCACCCTTACAGCCCTAACTTAGGGTTGCTACTCAGCTGCTGGGATGGCTCAACCTGCAATGCCCAGCTGGGAGCCACATGCTCATCTCCCAGGGAAACTGAGGACAGGGAAGGTTGGGTGACACCACTCTGAGGTCACACAGCAGGGCAGTGGTTCCCGCCTGGCCCAATGGGCTCAGGAGACAGACCTGAGCTTATCAGGAGACTCAGGCCAGGACACCTGCAAGGTAAACAGAAAATAAGCATCAGGTTCCTGCCCAGGACACAGGACACGCTGATCCTGACACTCGTTGGGCTGGCCACTTCCCGGGAAGGTGTGATGTAACCCGCAGGCGTGAGAAGGGGAAGTGGCCACTGGCTCCTGCGCCCCAGGCCCTGCCCTCCGCCTGCAGGCTTCACCCTCACTCTCTTTGGGAGGGAGCCAGCCTCTGTGCTGCCCAGAGGGCCTTGAACTGCTGGGCTCAGGCAAGCCTCCTGCCTCAGCCTCCCGAGTGCTAGTCGGGAGGCGCGCACACTGCAGCTGGCTAGGAGATATATATATGTTTTGTTTTGGTTTTTTTCTTGTGGAACTGGTGAATGAACTCTGGCTAGGATCTATACTTTCAGATGTCGATGTTTTCCATTTTTTTGGAACCAGAGTAAAGTCTAAATAAAGGATCATTTTTGTGCCCGCACGCGTGCAATCACAGCCCTGCCCGGGGAACAATTAGCATCCTAGAGTGTGGACAGCTGCCACCCCAGCCCACCTCCCTGACTGCAGGACGACTGTGGGTGGAGACGGCGCCAAGGCCGGAGCTGGAGTGCCTGAGTGGCACGAGGGTGCAGTAGAGCTGTGAGCTCCAAGGCGCCCGCCTCACCCCAGCCTTGGCGCCCCGTCTCCACTGCACACCCCTGGCAGCCCCTTGGGGGGAGCCCTGGGGAGGGGACAGTGAGAGGGATGACTCATCCTGAGCAGGGAGCGGTAGCCCGGGAGCCACGGTGCGCGCATGCGCCGTATCGCCTCCTGTCTGCCTCCCCCCAAGAGCACTTTGCCAAGGGCAGTGGCTGGGCTGTGTCTGCACATGCGAGTGGGCAAACAGGGCCGTGGGGACAGGTGAGGTGGTTGGGAGCTGTGGCCACAAGGTTAACTGACCCAGCCAAGATTTGAACCCTGGCCCCCTCGCTCCTTTGGGCCCAGAGCCTCTGGAAGACTAGGAGGGCACCGAGAGCTGCGTTTGGACGGCGGGTTTGGGGGCCAGGCTGCCACCATCTGCCTCTCACCACCTTCATGATCTGGGGAGGCTACCTCAGGCCTCAGTTTCCCTTTCTGAAAGACAATGGCGACAAACGTGCCCACCTCCTTCGTGTTGTCCCTATGTTACGATTGCTCCTCGGGCACCTTCTACTCGCCAAGCCCACGCCCAGCCCTCGGGAGTGCCTCGTTGCCCATGCTCCTAGAGGGAGCTTTCCAGGCAGCGGTCCCCTGGCCCAGCCGCAGCCTCCGAGAGCTCAGCGGTGGGCTAAGTCGGAGCCCCAGGAGCGAGGGGTGGCGCGGCGCGGGGCGGCGCGGGGCGGGGCCTCCCTCAGAGCCTCATTGGTCGTCCCGGCGCTCCAGGGGAATAAAGCCCGGCAGAGCCGAGGCCAGCTCTGAGCACTCGCCTGCGACCCTTCTTCGGCCCCACTACTCCTGTTCCTTCGGCCCTGTCACTGCTGCTCCTTTGCCTGTGCCGGGTAGGTGGTCCCTTACGCATCCCAGAACCACACTGCCTAGAGACAGACCTCCTGGGGGCTGGGGGCAGCCGCTGGGCCTCAGTTTCCTCATTTATAACCCAGGGGTAAAGGCAGGACCTGCCTGCCAAGGACGTGGCTCGTGAGATGAGTGGGCACTTAGGCTAACAGGTGCTGTGTGGCGCAGGTCTGCAATCCCGGAACTCGGGAGGCAGAGGCAGGAGGAGCACAAGTTCAAGTCCGGCCTGCGCAACTTAGCAAGCTTCTGTCTCAAAACAAAAATTTAAAGGGGTTGGGGTGTAGCTCAGTGCAAAGGCTCATAATTCAATCCCTTGTACTAGGGGGCAAAACAACATGCTTGTCCTAAGTGAATACTAGGATTTCCAGTAATTTGTTTTTGGGTTTTTTTTAAACATTTTTTAAAATGTATTTTTGTGTAGGGTCTACAGAGTCTCACTACGTAGATCGGACTCATAGTGATTCTCCTGTCGTTGGCCTCCCAAGCGCTGGGATTACAGGCACGTGTCTCTGCTGTCCTGTCTCAATCACCATCTCAGCACACCCTTAGGGCAGGGCTGTTCTTGTTGTGTGTACATCTCAGTGCACCCTGGGGGCAGGGCTGTTTTGGGTGTGTGTGTGTGTGTGTGTGTGTGTGGCACAAGGGAATGAACTCAGCCTTGTGTTTCCCAGGCAGGCACTTATGCCACTGAGCTGTCTCCCCAGCCCTGATTCATTTTGTTTGTTTGTTAATTTTTGGTTTTGGCAGAACTGGGGATTGAACTCAGGCCCTCGCGCTTGCCAGGCAAGCACTTATTCTACTGAGCCATCTCCCCAGCCCCCCTGATTCATTTTTAAGAA